TGGGGCAAAATCGCTGGCCTCTGAGGCATGAGCGAATGCTAGTGGGGACTTTGGTAGTTGTGGTGTGGTCTGATATGGCGGGCTCTGAGCTGCTCCACCAGAGGCATGGGGCTAGGCACTGGGTTTTCATTCCTTTGTAAGTTAATAAATGCACATAAAATATATTATATGGTTTGTCTGATAGCGCAGGAGACCCAGAGGGAATTCAGGCCACAAAACTGGTGTAGTCTGGCCAGATAAAGGAACTACAGCCTTGAGGATATGGGTCTCAGAAAGTAGTGCTGTTCCCACTGCCCCTGTGGCAGGTCAGCTGGGCTCTGAGTCCCAAATCCAGGAGAGAAGCCAATCAAAACCCATATGCTTAATAGGGTTAAGGATAGTCATATGGGTTATACAATGGATCTTAAAATCTCTAACTAAAAAGAAGCCAGCCACTCAGAAGCGTGGGCCACAGCTGTTTTGTAAATGTGGGGATATGTTGTGGGTATGTGAAGATGTGTTAAAGGTTACACAAAGGCTAGAAAGTCTTTTACCTGCTCTAGACCCAAACAGAGTGCCTGGAGAGTGCAGCCACTTTGCATCATAAAAGCTGTGCCCCAGGCAGGGAAAGCTGAAAAGGCTTGCACGGGCAGACCAGGTGCAGAGCCAGGGACACTTTGACTTGTGTAAAGTCCAAGGACTCAGAGGAAAAGACAGATAATAGTGAAAAGGAAAAAAAAGCGAACTGTGCTGTAGCTAGGAAATAGTCCATGCTAGAACTGTTAAAACTAGGAAAAACTTACAAGCAAGCAAGCAGAGAGCCCCTGGCCACATAGCTTGTGAGAGTATGGGACATGGGAGCAAATGACATCAGTCTAAGTCCGTCAGAAGCTTCACAGCTGAGTTTGTATAACCTCCCATCCATCCTTATGATATAGGCTGTTCAACCTAGGCCAATGCAGGGGGGAGCAGTCCTTAATGGGATGGCTGGTTGAAGGCATTAAAGATACATGGTTGTCACCAAGGGAGACTAACATGATTAGCAGGGACTGGAGGACTATAAAAGAGGGGCAGGCATTCCTGAGAGAACTAGGTATGAGAAAAGCAATACATGATATGTCCAGTTCACTGGGCCAGATAAGACTGAGTTCACCAGAGATATGAAAGAAAGCCTAAATCAACTGGGACCTCGAGAATGGTATGGGGCTTTAATGGTTTTACTAAGCCGTTTGATGGGACAGGATCTTTGTAAA